TCAAAAGTAGGTCACTGTGACCTGCTTTTTGGTCAACGTTCTCCGAAAACCCAAAATGCATCAACTGACAAAGTTTGATGATTTTTGGCCTATAAGTACTGGAAAATACTTATATAATCCATAAATTGTCAAACGTAGGTCACCATGACCTATTTTTTGGTTGTCACTCTCCGAAAACCCAAGATGCATCAACTCACAAAGTTTTATGAATCTAAGCCAATAAGTGCCGGAGATACTTAAATAAAGCCGTAAAATGTCAAAAGTAGGTCACCGTGACCTACTTTTAGGTCGTCACTCTCCAAAAACCAAATATGCATGGACTCACAAAGTTTGATGATTCTACCTAAGATACTTAAATATAGCCATAAAATGTCGAAAGTAGATCATCGTGACCTACATTTTGGTCGACATTTTTCAAAGACCCAAGATGCATCTACTGGCCAAGTTTGATGATCGTAGGTCTGAACGTAATCAAAATATGAGTTTTAAACAATTTGAAAACAAATATCGGCAAAATTCAAAAAGTAGGTCACAGTGACCTACTTTTTCATAAATATGTTTTAAGGTCCCAAGATGCATCAAAGTACAAGATTTGATGATTCTAAATCTCCCAGTGTCTGAAATAATGGGATTTAATGTTTTTAAAAAGTCATAAAGTTCAAAAGTAGGTCACAATGACCTAATTTTAAGTTGACATTGTTCGAGGACCCAAGATGCATCAACTGACAAAGTTTGATGATCATGGGCATTAAAGTGTCCAAAATATGCCTTCAAATCAATTTGAAAACAAATCCCCGCAAAATTTAAAAAGTAGGTCACCGTGACCTACTTTTGAGTTAACATGATGTGAAGTCGTCAGTAGCATCCCCTTGTTTAAGGGTCCCAACCCTTATTTTAGTATAAATGGTAGCCCTTGGGCCAAGGATACCCTGTGACAAATTTGGTACCGATTGGCCAAGGGGTTCTTGATTTATGGCCCATATTCTAAAAAGTTTACGCACACCGCACAAATGGCCATAGCATTAGCTCTTTGAGCCTTTGGCTCAGAAGAGCTAATAAAATGATTTGTGCTACCTGGGCTCTATTTAAATTGTAGGAGTTCCTACCTGTAGCCAAATATCTTGGATGACAGCTAGCCTCTCCACCGCGGAAATGGTTGATCTCATGGGTTTTTCCGTTTTTAAAATATTTTTTGTGAGCTCCAATAGATAAATTGATTGATTGATTGCATCTTGTTTAACGTCCCTCTTCAGAATATTTCACTGATATGGAGACGTCACCATTGCCGGTGAAGGGCTGCAAATTTAGGCCTATGCTTGGCACTTACGGCCTTTGAGCAGGGAGGGATCTTTATCGTGCCACACCTGCTGTGACACGGGGCCTCGGTTTATACGGTCTCATCCGAAGGACCGCCCCATTTAGTCGCCTTTTACGACAAGCAAGGGGGTACTGAGGACCTATTCTAACCGGGATCCCCACGGGAATCCAATAGATAGAAAAACTGACTCTGGTGAACCCTTAGAAAATTTTTGAAGGATTGCCTGTCTTCAGCCGATATTTCTCTAAGCAAATTCTGCCATATTCCTAAAAGAGGTATATAGGCTATCGTATGTATATGCTTACAGTCTACTTGTTGTACTTGAAACATTTTTTGCATATGAAATCATATTTATGGGGTCATGCAGATACACATTTATACATACAGTAAAATGTTCGTCTTGTTTTTCTTGTTTGTGGAGAGGGCTTTGATACAAACTTTTTTTTTTCATCGTCCGAAATTTATTTCTCTAAAAGGACCGGGACCCAACTTTCATAATTTAAATCCACAGATCATTTTCAAATATTGATCTCTACTTAGTATATATCTAGTATATATATTTAGACCAGTGCACAGGGGCGTAGCCAGGGTTCCTTTGATGTAAAACCCGAATATAGGCTCGGGCATAGAGGCGGTCTTAATAACCCCAGTGCACGTGGGTCCAGCCTAAATGCCCCGAGAATAAGTGAAATTTCGATTATTTCTATGAGAATATCCTTTGAATGAGACCGTATAAACCAAGGCCCCGTGTCACAGTAGGTGTGGCACGATAAAGATCCCTCCCTGCTCAAAGGCCGTAAGTGCCGAGCATAGGCCTAAATTTGCAGCCCTTCACCGGCAATGGTGACGTCTCCATATCAGTGAAATATTCTGGAGAGGGACGTTAAACAGTATACAATCTATGAGAATATCCGAAACCGACCCTCGATCCTGATCGCATTTTTCTGACACTCTATATGTTTCTTACGCAGCCATATTCGAGGTCTGTTCTATTTTTGTACAAAATGCGGACAAACACTAAAAACACGAGATAGGATCTGTCCAATATTGTTGTCTAATCGAAAAGTGAATATCAGAATGAAATGCACGTAGAAAAATTTCAACAATATTTAATAGTTAACCACATTTCGGGAAAATCTATTGATTTAAGAGAGATGCACACTACTAGTATTGTTTTTCTATAAAACTGATTCTGTTGTCATATGTATCTTTTATATCGTTATTCTTAATTTAAAAGCATTTTTTTAATGCTAAATTATATGTATGCTCTAGTCACGCCTCTCTCTCTCTCTCTCTTAAAAAATGATGTGGACGTGTGTTCACAAACATACGCCTGGCGACGCGCCTGTAGACTACAATTAATTGTTTACCGAGTTTCAATTTTGTCTAGAAAATTACCACTTGTCAAGTCAAATCTTCTTTTTGAATTGAAAGAAAATATATTTCAGTTTGACTTCCCTTATTCGAACATATATAATGTATCAAAAATACATTAAAAAATTGCTAGAGTATTCAATATTTTTCTCATACCCAGTTCATTCCTCCTGGTTAGCCATAGCCTAGTCCATGATATTTTTTGAAAAAAAAAATTTTCACTGCCTAAGCAGCAACAATGCACATACTCAATTAAGTATTGTTTTCTTTCTTCTTGCTGCTATCTTTTTTCAATGAACGTGCGAAAATTACATCAGCTTCAAAGGTCATAATTAGAATGACGTCATGTAAAATTAGATACCCGGTATATGACCGCTAAATTTTTTTAATTATAAATATTTTATTTACCAAAATCCGTTTTACATGAAATAAACGCAAAACAATCACCTGCTTCTGTCTTGTCAAAATCGTTTGTAAATCAAATGTAACATCGAATCTTGTTACCAACCCACCACTCCATTCGACTTACCTGAGCATGTCGAATGAAAATCGGATGAAATATTGCATTGTGTGACCGAACCTTAAATTGACGTTTTCATTAAAGGATAATAGTTACAAAATCTTACGTTTTTCTAATTTTTTTTTTTTTTGAAAACCGAATAGGTATTTCTGATAAAAGCAAATATCAAAATTAACACTACATTGCTCAGGTAATCCCCTTTGAATGAAGGATCATAAAAGCAACTCGCGCAAGCCATTTTTCATGAAACAGACTGGAAAGCCTGTGGTAGTAGCATTATTCTTATAGAAATTTGCATATTTCCAACATGGTCGACATACATGCAAAAACCAAATATCTTAATTCAATCTTAGTTATTTCAGTATTTAACAAAAAATTATTTGTTTCACAACATTTTTTTATTTAAAAAAATAAATGTCTCATAATAACTACACATTTTCTTTAATAGTTTGCCTTTATTATAGGCAAATAACTTAATTATTATACATTAGTACATGTATGTGCTGTCATATGGCGAATACATGGATATCATAACAAAAACATCAAAATCAAGTTTGATTACTCACTTTAATTAAAAATTTTATTTTATATATTCAATTCTAACACAATTTCAGTAAATTCCAGAAATCAACACATTTGAAACTTTACAATTTGCCAGCACATTTCACAATAAATATGACTTAACAACAGTTCTTCCATTTAGTCAACCAGCTGCGACACTGAAGATTTTGCATGTTGAGCAGCATCGGGAACAATGTTTTAAAAAAGTAAAAGTAGGGTGCAACAAAACATTTTTTACATGAAATTAATCTATGAATTAATTTATTTCATTATTAAATTGTATAAAATTAATTAATTTCGTCAGAATTTGACACATTAAAAAAGAAAAAGACCACGTCGAGGAAATTCGAATTTTTCTCTGTTTAATACTAATCTTCAATGCATAAAATGCCATTAACATTGATTTAAATTTAAATTTAACTGTAATTTTATTACTTTGGTGTAAAATATTACATGTATAAAGCAAACTTGCCATGGTCGTCGACTTTCCCCCAATCATGACGTGTTTTCATTTTCTACTCTATGTCGGCGCCCACTCTCACCGGGTAAGTCGTTTTAACTGCGCTGTCCGGGGCGCCGTATGTAAAATTCCTGTTAAATGATTTCATATTTCTATAGGAAAAATTATGAATGTTTTAAATATGGATGAATTTTTTAAAGTAAAATATTGCTTACCATCTGAAATACACGATTTGTACAAAAACTTGCCAGCTCTCCGCTTTGTTTACAATGAAATACGGGGATTCAGGTATCATACGAATCTCCGATTTATAAGCTTTTTTCTCATTGGCTGATTTGAACAATATATTCAACTATAGCTCGCGGAAAGCCAGTGAAACAACCCGACTAACGCAAAATGTGAGGTAAAGTGGCATCCGAGTTTGAAATAGTGTTGAAAGACGTTTTGGAGAGCTTACATGAACTACAGGAAAAAAATGCATAGTTATTACAGAACAATAATATTTATACTGTTTAAAAGATAAAGTCTTATACAAAATAGGTGTGAAAATTTTATGTCATAATTTATTAAATGGAAAACTTTATTGCGAGTTGAAAATCGTCAATTTCATGCCGATTTAGCCGAAAATAACGTCACGCAAGATAAACTGAACTCCTTATCTGACACTAACATGCAACTCAACATTAGAATCGTCTTTCTCATCCCACTTGTTCCATTGATATAAATGTAAAGCGATCATAATGTTAGGACAGGAAGAACGTGGCGCCTCACAGACGAGAATCTAAATGAGGAATCACATTAGGACCGGAAGTACACGTTCCTTCACGAGTTGATCTACGAACACAAAGACGTAGAATTCCAATTCTAAACCGTTTGTTTCCTGCAAAATAAATGATACCGTTGACACTTGAGTGTAAGTGTGCCGTAAGCGTAATGAACAGATGAACTTTCATTGGGAAAGTGTCTTGCACATCTAAAGTAACAATAATGGCATACGGCGTCCAGCAGATGACAAACGCAATAAAAATACAAAACAACATCTGAGATGAACGGACTGTTTCTCTCCAAACTTTTCTCATTCTCAAAGGATTGTCAATGTCCAAAATGTAAATGTTTCGTTTTGTTTCCCAGATACGCTTAAAAATAAGAAAGTAGCATATAGCCATTACTACGAGTGGCGCACCAATCAAAATCATTGAAACAAACATGGTGTAGGATAAACTTGCAGTCCGATCCCAGATGCACTGGTGATTTTTGTGGTCGAAGAAGTGCCCTCCCCAACCAACAAAATTAGGTATTTCAAACGAGAAAGCCATCACCCAGCAGGTGAAACAGAGCAAAATGCTGGTGACACGGTTGAAAAGTCTGTCATACACGTGGTTGTAGCGCAGGTATATAAAGCGTGACATCGACATAAGGAACAGGCTGAAAAATGCACAAACGCAGGCAGTCAGACAAAGGCTCGCCACAAAAATACACAACAGTTTCCTTCCCTGGAAAAACTGTTCTCCATGTGTGACACCTTAAATACAAATCATAGCATAAGTATTTTATATTGCCTTTAAAATAATAAAGCTCTAGACTCGGCCAATCAAAAAAGCCAAAAAAAAAAAAAAAAAGACAGAACATTAAAATATACTAATGATACACATGGGGTCGGCTATGGCAGTGACACAGAGATCCGCCAGTGCTAGGTTAACGACGAATTCTTTCCCACATTTGTTGACGTCTCTGCGAACGGTCGATACCAGGATAGTTAATGTGTTACCTACAGTCCCCACCAGCAGGGCCGTACTGGTAATGATAATGTACAATACTGCTAGGAGCGTGTCGGTCTGCAAGGGAGGGAGTATCACTTTCTTTATGGTATCGTTGTCAAAGCTCTCGCAGTTATCTAGAGTATCGTTGATTTAAAAAGTTTCATTCTACAAAGAAAGGAAACAATGGTGATTCTCAATTAACTTTATGTTTTATTGTGGTGCTATTTAAAAAAAAAAATTAATGATAAATGATTGATAAATGATTGTTTGCTTCATTTGGAAATTCAAAGGGAAATTCCTTTAATGAAGATGCATTGTAGAGTAAGACATGTGTATTCATTCAAAAATTAAATATTTCTAAACATTAAATGTCAGGTTAACACATTTAAAAACACACACAAAAAGTTAATATTTTTTTCTCTTAAAAATAAGCTTTAAAAGTTCTTCTTTGTTACAATTTTTTCTAAAGTAACTAGGGTGATTGCCACTGTTTATTTACAATATTGAAACCTAGAGTAGACTTTCAAGAGCGAATTTAAACAAAATTTCTATCAATATTTCATTGTTATAGGCACACCATCTTTAAAAAAAAATTACTCTCCCTCTCAGGACTCATGGTAAAATTATATTCTTCGTATGTGAAAATCTTTCCTCTGAAAAGTTCAACATTTGTGTTGACGGGAAAGGAGGGAAAAAACGAAAAAAATGTGTCCTTTAATGTAAAAAAAGAGAGATTTCGAGTTGGGCTATTTTTAGTCTGGCGATCTGTATACAGAGGGAATCTGAACATTTTATTTCAAGATGGCCTAAGCATGTGCAAATTACAATTATATATTAATGCAAGAACATTGTAATATTTAGTATTCTTAAAGGACTTACCTTATGAAACAGCGTTAGAGATCAGGTAGGCAACCCTCTCCATTATGAAATTCTTAGATTATCTTCCATGCATCATACTTTAAAAGAGGGGCAAACCTGTTTCTTAATTTGGAAAATATAAGTGTATTATCTTACCGAACACTTTAAGTCGCCCATAGCGACAACACCAGTCCTTAGATTGGAGTATATAAATCGGAAAAAAAAGACCGAGTTTGATTACACGCAATAATTAAAATACAGAATCACCTGATAGCGTCTACTCAATCGAATTGAGAAAATGAACGGTTTTTATATGTGAAGCAAATTGCGTATGCTTGCAAAACCAGATTTTTTCCGGATTTTTTAATGACTTTGTGTACATATTCATACATATATTTTTTTTTCTAAACCGGAATATATTAATACGTGACGTATATATATAACAACATTTTTTTGAAGTAATTACTTTAATTGATCGTTAATTAAACGATAAGATATAGAGCCTATAACAAACACTAAGTAAAAGAAAGAAAAACGCATGAAGAGTTTTATTCTTGAAATGTAGAATATCTGTTGAAAAGAATACAATTCAGTTCTCAGGGTTAATATGGATAAAATCGGGTTTTTAATAAATGATGAGTTAACCTGACAGTCAAATAAGAAAAAAAAATATCTATGCCAACCTCCCTCATTTTGCTAAGTGCAAAGGAGCTTAACTCTTCTATTATTTATATTGTGACGATGGGAATTATTACTTGAAAATATCACACGTCACTACATATTTCGTTTTAAATCTTTATTCAAGGAATTCCAAAAGTTACATTTAAGGTATACTTTTACTCAGAAGACCAAAAATTCCACTGATAAGAACGAATCAAAGTACTCATAAGTACAGAGAGCCGGGCTCATTTACAGAGTAGAATTGATTTCTTACATGAATCACGTTTATATTCTGATGAAAAAATTATTTTAAAACTATCAATATAAATGATAAGACACTGACAGTGAGTTTTTCAATCCTAATACCACGGTCCGATTTTGTCAGAATCAGAATTAATCTGATACCGCAGCTGAATGTAAACAAACAGGTCAGTCTGGTTCCCTCTCCTGCTTTACCTCGTATGTGTAGAGAACTACGGTAACACTGTTTATCAAAAATCCTTACGCTAGAGAACTATATGTTATTTGACTTATGAAGTTTTCAAAGTCATTACTACTAATGTTTATTTTATTTTGATAAAACTTCGTTTTAATTTTGTTGCTTTATTTAGCGTTTGTATTATCTCAAAAGCAGTTGAGAGTAAGAACTATATTTTTGCACGTAACTTTAAAATGGCGACTATGGGGTCAACATCCTGCCTTGAACAGGATCACATAAGCCGGCAATTGCTCTTTGAGCAATAAGCCCGGCTAAAAACTACCTACTGCACATTGTACAGCTATGATTCTTGTGTTAAATTTCAATTTCAAATAACTAGGTCAATGACCTACTTTTCATTCTAGTGGCCCCTGAGTATTTCTCGGAAAATACCTCAATTTTTCACACTATGTCCATTTTCTTTCTATACAAACAAAATATTACAAGCAACTAAACTCTTTAAATAATGAAATATTATAGCAATGAAACAGCATTGCTTCATATAAAGAAATGATTGGAGTTTGGGCCATAAATGAGATAATTATTAGAGCCCGAATTTCCTCTGTCATATTTATATTTTCCCCCCATTTTTTAATCGAATATTACAGAAATCTGACTGATGAGAACTCTAAACTATTGACAGCCTCAGATTACTTTTTTTGCCCTAATTCTCATGGTATTAATATTTTATGGGGTCAATGATCAAATAATTGAGATATGTTGTCTCGAATGGTTTTTGTACATATTTTTGAATTTCTTTATTTCACAGCATTCAATTATTTGAAATAACTTATGAGCTTTTAACACTTACGATATTTGCAAAATGATGTTTAAAAATACATGTAACCTTTACTTTGTGCATAATATTGCAAGAAATAATTTTTTTTGACAAAAATGAAAAATGAAAAAATTAGTCCGAATTTCCTCTACATTGACATTGAATTACCGTACATTGACTTTTGTTCCTGTGTATTTTCTTTAAATAATGAAATATTAATTTTTCACATTGATTTTGAGTTAAAACTTACTTATTTTATCCATTTAGAACAACTTTTGATTTAACATATTATACTTTATAAAATTTCCATTCTGTTTTCTGAAACCTGAGTAAACGTCATCCTTAAGGTTTCGTCAAAGGTCAACATGTCCAAACATTTATTTTTAAAATAACTCCAAAACTATGTGAGGTATAAAGTTAAAACTTTTACAGTTTATAAATTTTTCATTGATTAACAGATAGAAAGTATCACTTGATAAAAAAAATACTTGGAAAAATATTTAAATTGAGAAAAAATCTTTTTAAAAATGCATATTTTTTCAGAAAATGCACCTAATTAATTCCGTGCTTTTAGTGAAAACCATCACTGCAGAAACAAAATATGTTTATCAATGAAGGGCAAGTTGGACTTGGATATAGCCTCTGGAAAGTTGTTTTCCCTGCTTATTTTGTCCAAATGTTAAGACTTGAAAGCGAAAGTACATTGCAAATGGCGGGTTCTTCAGGGGTCTTGTCTTAATACATGTCATGCTTTCAATAACAGCCTTTCAGAGACCATTCACGTCCAACTTGCCCTTCAATGATAAACATATATTATTTTTGCAATGATGGTTTTCACAAAGAGGACAGAATTAAGCAGGTGCATTTGTCTTTTAATAAGCACATTTTCTGATACAATTTTTCTCAAAAAATATCTTCTTTAAAATATTTGTAGTCAAGTGATACTTTCTTTCTATTAATCAATGATACATTTATAAACTGTAAACATTTTGACTTTATACCACACATAGTTTTGGAGCTATTGTAAAAATAATTTTTTAGACATGCTGACCTTTGACGAAAACCTTAATCGCTTAAAAACTCTGAAACTAAGACTAAACTCCGATACACACATCACATCTCTCTTTCCCCTAAACTCCGCCCATATTTATAAAGATACCCAATGAAAGAATACCGAACTCAAATGCAACATCAAAAGAAAGAATGGTTGACATAAATTTTCCACAGAATTCTCAGGACTGGAAATGCTCAAGCTTTAATCTCTACACTCTAAACATATAACTCGCAATACCGTCATTGATACTGTGAGACAAAGGGGGGAGGGGGGGGGGGGAGAGATGTCAAATCTGATAAATACAACACAGATGCTGAAACATCAAAGTAAAATGCACAAAATCACTCCTTGACATTACCTTCGGCTCAATCAGAAATGTTTCCACTACATTTTCTTTATTCAATTAATTGCTACAATGATGAAAAAAAAATAATGTAAAAAATAAAAACAAGAAAAACATTGTTCCAACACAATGAAACCGAAGGGTACCAAAATTCAGTAACATTGAAATTAATTCACATAAACAAGTCATAATAACGACCAGCATTAAAGATCCGTGTAAGTAAAATTATAAAACAATGTAATTTTTCCATTATTTTACTACCTTCTGTATAAGGTGATACACGTAAACATGAAATAACGAAGGGGGAAAAATAAAATATGTAGTCCACTTCGGAACTGTAATTGGTTATAAAACTGGGTTTTAGATGTATTTCTAGAAACGTGAATCATGACCCGTGGTTTTACAATGAACTGACACATCTACTGGGTACATAATAAACATATAGATATAGTACATGCAAAACACACACACACAAAATAATAAAATGTATATAAAAAATGTTTATATAAAATATAAACAAACATTATTTATTCCACAATTATGTGCAAACTCATAAAACTGATTTCACGTGTTTATTTGAGAACAAGAAAATATGAAAATCTTTCGTGGTTTTAAATATGCACTGTGAAAAATAAAATGCCGTCCTCGCAAGTAAAATGGGAAAGAAAAAAAAAACAAATATGAAAAATAGAGACTACAAACTACCAATACACTATGCTACCATGCTGAATTAACGCCGTTTTTTAAACAAAGGAATGTTCGTTTTCCTGACAAATGTTTGACAATCTGGCGTTAAAATCGTCAAAATCTACCCACGAATAGTATTTGCTATCAAATCATAGCCACTTTACTCTATACTGTTCTCTTCCATTCACTTTTCTCTTCTTAATATTTTTCTCAGTTTCATAAATCTGATCATCTTTTTCATTTTCAGTCACAATGTCAATTTGATCATTTTGATCTGGGATTTCATCATCCCCTACAATGGCAGGTTCAATGGCATCAATATTGTCAGGAGCGGCTACATTTAGCTCATCAAACCGCAAGGCCTCCTTCTTTAACCTGTTAATATGGACTCTATTCCTGTACCGCTTTGACCTTGTCTGGGTCTGGACTGATACCAGACTTACTAACAATATGACCAAGATATCGTAACTCATCGTGTGCAAAATTGCACTTCTCTGCTTTAATATCAATTCTCTGTAATTATCAAAATTGGTTGGCCACGCATAGAAAAACATTTTGATTTTTTTATAATAATTTTAAAGAGCTATGTCATTAATTATAAAATCTAAAGTGGGTTTATGAAATAGACCCTTGGTTGCCATAGAAACGGGGTGCAAAATTCTCAATTTTGTTAATTTTGAAAACTGTGTACTTATCAAGAAAAACTGTGTCCAGAAATAAAAAGGGATAACTTAATATGTTTTCATTATTTAAATTTAATACTACAGATTAAAGTAATTATATCTATACAGTCAAACCTGTATTAAGAGACCTTCCAACGGAGAAAGGAAAAAAGGTTTAATCTCTCTATATTTTAGTGTTCAAATGTATGGTATTTCATAACACCATATTTACATATTAAAATGCTTTTACAACTGTTAAGAAATAAAATATCAGATCATTTGAATATTGGAAAATATTGTGAACATCTGAAAATATTAATATTTTTTCAAACAGTATAAAAAAGCTGCAAAGGTTTTTTCCCCTAATAATATATATATATATATTTTTTTACATGATAGCCTATATAACTTCGTTGTTTTACATATTACCAAAAATAAAAACGGTATCATAATTTTGTTATGCATTTGGCACTGAAATATTTATTTAACCTAATTATTTTTTTTCCATTATTGATTTATCGTGTCTAATTGCCTGTTTGTGACCGGTATTTAAATCATTTCAATTAACACATGGTGTGGGTAATAATTAATGGTGACACAATGCACTTAAATAAACATCTATGATTTAGTTACTTGTTAATTGAAGTTAAACAGGCAGGTTTTATAGCTGAATATCTATGTATGAAATAATATGGTGGGAGACTCGATCGTCTTTTTCCAAAATGGCGCCCGATCACTGGACAGAAAAACGTGATGTTTATGTTTTACATTTTAATGTTTATTCAATAAATATCAAAGTGTAAGTAAAAATATTCATTTTTAAATGTTCTTTTCTTCGTAAAAATCGCATTACATAATTATTAAATGAAATAAAAGCGTGTCTGTAGTTGTTTTGAACCAAAAACGATGCATGCTTGACTGAAATTAAGAAAGTAAGAATCAGAAATTATGTAGTCGTTAAATTCAGGTAAAATTGCTTGAAATTATTAAAAATGGTCAGGAAAATCACGGTCGTTGGTAGCGTTAAACAGGTGGTCGTTTAATACAGGTAGAATACATAGGGAAAAGCTTTGGGGGGAATTTTTACGGTCACATGTGACAGTGAGTCGCTTAATACAGTGGGTCGCTATGGCAGTTTTGACTGTAGTTTTAATTTAATCTCTCAATAGTAAATGGCCATTTTACATATTATAACATGGCTTAAAACAAAAAAGGCACACTGATTACAAATTTGTAATAATTTTGAAAGGCTGATATTTGAATATGTAAAATATGGGAGACTCAAAGATGTAAAAACATTACTTTTTTCTACATTTTGAAGCATTTTTTGCTTCCTAATTACTTCCCTTGAACTACTCTCTAACGTTTGGAGGTACAATGTGTATTTAGTAAACAGCAATGAACATTTTCTGGCGAAAGACCTCATCAAAGTTTTACAGTCTGGAAGAAGAAAAGAAGGCTAGACATCCTAAACAATGAAGACAGAAGGTAAATTTATGTATATACTGAGCATTACAAAAATATCAAGATTAACAAATGCATATTTTCTTAATTTTATTTGCCTTACAATACACAGTTGTTTTACCGGTAGTGGTTAGTGGTCCTTATCAAATCAAGCGAACTATACCTTTTGACAGTTTGACTTTCTGACCAATGAATTAATTATTTTTATTAATAAAAATGAATTTGAAGCATATAAACATCACTTGGTGATACAGCTGACCCCCCCCCCCCGAAATATAAATGTCTATCATGTCTATAGGGCCTATAGAGATTGTATAAAATCTGTGCCATTCAGTAGGTTTACTTTTTATGATGTGGTGAGAGAGACTTTTAAGTGAACATTATTTATCTATATAGTATAAATTTCCACTTCTGTCAGTTTTCATTCATTGTTTATCCTATTATTTCAATTCTTTATTGGCATTAGGCACATATTTTACAGAATTGTGTTGTTAAAATATTAACTAGAGCAAGTTTGTTTCTATAATAAAAGTGCATCAAACGTTTATAATGTGTGAGCACAAGCATAAAGTAGCTAAGTTTTTAAAATAGGCCTAGTATTCTATATATCAGCAAAACATGGTCATGTGATGTTCATAAGCAGAAAATAGGAAAACACCATGTTTGTTTTGATGTCATTGTTTTATTTAATAGCTTCTATCTTTTAAACTTAAAATTTATAATATATATCCAAAACTGTACTATATGAATTGACAAAATAGATCTAGGTTAAGATTGCACTGGAAATATTGAGTTATTTTTGTTTATATAGACTCTTTCATTCGTCTGTGAAGTACCGGTACATAATAATCTATTATAATTCAATTTTGTGTGAATAATGATAATCTTTTCAACTAGCAAACAGTTAAAAAATATATATGTACACTTGTACATATGTATTAGTGTTAAAACAAAATTTAACTAGAGGTACTGTGAGCAATGAGCTCACTAAATGATACCCCCTGCCTCCCATATGGTTATAACTGATGACAAATCCATGTTTTACTGTGGCCGGGAAACCCAAAATATGCGTCGAATCAAAAAGTAAAATAGGAGGTGCACAATGGCAATATGTAATAAAGATTCTGTGAAAGGTTAATTAAATTTCACTCATTGCAGTGGTATACATGTAAGAGGAGTTGCGGATAATAAGAGATGGGTACCCAAAAGCGTAACAGACAGACGGACGTACAGACAGATGGACGTACAGCTAGATGGACATACCGATTACGGTATATCCTACCACTTTTCAAGTGGAGGGTATAATAAAACTATATACATGTACATGTATGTAGAATATTCACCTCTGATTTATAATGATATTTGTGTTATACACACTGACCATGTTTTATAATATTCTAAAAAAATTATTTGATACTCAGGCAAATATTCACTACTGGTAAGATGATCACACACATGAACATGTCTGTGTATGAATGAAATGAATTTTCCTTTTGATCATGTTCCTAGGAAAATAATTATTTTCATCATTTTTTCATCAAAGGATTTACCATATAAGATGAATAAAGAAAAAGTAAGACCAGTAAACCAAAACAGGACCAAATAGGCCATGACTGAAGTTCAAGTGCATTCTGCAAGAAAGTGGACAGCCTAGATTTTGTTCTTTTCAAGGTATTACCATTCTTAAAATATGAAAGTAAATTAAGGACAGATGATACAAACAAAAAATGGATGCCTGGATTGGTATATATTTTTTGGCATAATTTAATTGCAAATTAATGATGCTATTAATAAATTTCTAGAATATTAAGAAATTGTAAACCTTCTGTGATGTTCAAAAGTCTGCCCTCTTGAAACTATCCTTATTAATCTTTACAAATATTTTTCACTTCAAATTCCATTTTTATGCAAATATGAACTAAAAATTAAAAAGTACTTGAAGAAAGTTATTAATTTTACTGATTTAAATATGACCCCAGTTGTTATTTTCAAATTCTTTGACAAAAGTTTGTTTGTATCATCTGTCCTTTAATTGTTAAAAAATATTTCAGTTTTATATCTAAATCTAACCCTTGCTTATTTCTTTTTTTTTAAACAAAATTTAATACCTGCCCAGTAACAGAAGAATTATTATACTAGAATAAAGAAAACAACTTTCTAAAGGATTACATACACATTTAATTAGCTTGAAATCAGTGTATATTGGAAAGTGCAGGAATTATTTACCATTGCAGGTTGAGAAGGGATGCCATGTTTAAAGCTGAATTCCAACCTACTTCAACATACTTGTACTGTCTTCAAGATATCAGTGTTTGAGATGTCAAAGTTCAAATATAATAGGAACATGTTTATCATATTATGTGATGGCATCCTCAAATCTTATGCTGTAAAACAATATGTTTTAGAACTTATCATGCTTTATTCTGTACCTTGCCAAAAAAAAAACTCAACTCAACATAATTCTCATTAACTAATTATCAGTGTTACTTGCGTTTGTCAATGTAGGTCATTATTGGTACATGCCTGACCAACAAAAACTCTAAAATTGAAAAATCAAGATTTTCAGAGCAGCAGAAACAGTAGAATTTGTTATGTAAATATAATGATATGTACCGTAGTTGAGAATACATGTACTCTAATTGTTGCATATATAAAAAATAAAAAAGCAAAAAGTTCTCTTGTTTTCAGAATTTATATTAACATGTGAAAAAAAAAAGGAGATTGATATAGTTGGTGTGATGAGATGTTGGCAGGAACCTAGTAAAATGAAAGGAAGAACTTCCTTAAAATGATACTTGTGGGGGACAGTGTCTCATGGGGGGGGGGGGGGGGGGGGCATTGTTTCAACTGACTTTACAGAATACAAAAGATCCATTGCAAACCTAATTATTAATTATATGCCAAACACTATGTTTAAAGTTTTCCATTGTTGGATATTTATGTTTGAATCCAAGTTAACTTACCCAATAGGATGTGATTTTTTTTTAAACCAAAGCCATGTTTCATAAGTTTTAAAAGAAAAAATCAGAAGGGGGGGGGTAAATTTTTTACTTCATTCAAAGTGTCTGTGGTTTGCAGTTGCCCATGAATTTAATAAGTAATTATACAAAGTAAGAAGTTGAAATGAGTAAAATGTTATGAATGCCCTGCTTGTTTTAGTTTCATTTCAGAATTTTTCAAGTTTGACCAAATCTTGAAAAAGTAAAAGCCACAAGGTTTTGCCATTATTTGGCATAGCATTACAAAATGCATTATATTTTTGCAATATCATAAAGATGCAAATTTAAGATGCCAAAAAATTTAGTTCACATTCACATTTAACTCATTACACAGGTTTTATAAAAAAG